TCTCGAGGTCTTCTGCCATCCCTGACGGCAAGCTGCAACTGCAGAAAGCCCGCTGTATTATAAAGCCACCCGACCCACACTTGTGACACCAGTCACCAGTACATCTTCGCACGGAGTCCGGGCTCGGGTGTTTGGAGGTCTTGTCCCTTGTGTGCCAAAGGGACCACCGACAAAACGCGAGCCGTTTGCGTTAAGCATGGTAAAATAAAGCTCTTAACCTTCTTGTGCCTTTGATCACAAACCTTGCTGGCTGTAAGGGGTGGGTCCGGGGTTCGCGGGAACCCGAGAAAACAGAGATGCTGGCATTCTCCGGCAGCGGCGGCTTGAAATCTTCGCCGTCGCCAGCACCGCCTGGCATGGCAATCAATCTAAATGAAGCACGTGAAGCAAGTGTGACCCGGGACAAGAACTGGCATTGCCCTCGCCACCCCACTTTTACCAAAGTTCAGATTGCCTCCAACAGTCTGAAGCCCCACCCATGACGGCCTTCCAATTCCACGGATGGTTTTCGTCGACGCCGCTTCCGAATCTGGACAGTGCAGCTGCAGGCTTGGAAAGACATTGGGATGAGCTGGTTGAACCTAAACCTCCAAACCAGCAGGCTTACAAACCTGGTTGGATGTTAGGGCCGAGGGATCCAGGAATCGATCTCCAGCAGCGACTGCACAAAATCCACACAACTTTATCAGAGCTGCAATGCAAACTTCGTTGCGGTGGCTGCGCCTGGTTTCGCAGCAGAAGAGCAAGCAAGCCCAAGGCACAGACACCCACCACAAGGCCCAGCATGGCGGCACGAGGCTAACGTGTCTGTCGTGCTAACGTGAGGGTGTCTGCAGCTGTCTTACGGTTTTTCAGCCTGCCTCTGTCATTCTCGCTCTCTCCCAACATGCTTCTTTGTGGTTGACATGTGCAGCTAAAGGCAAAAGCATGCCTGAGGAAGTTTCCGGGTGAATGCATGCGTGGGGGCCGCGATCGATGCAGATAAAAAATTGCTTTGCGCCGCAAGCTCGTATGCTGTCATCTCACTTACTTAGTCTAGCAGGCTGGCTTCGCACTGCATCTTCTTATGCATCTGCGAGGAGAGATGCGGCATCCTTGGTGTTGCTTCCACAGAGCTTCCCCCGATCTGGGTCTCAGATTTTCATCTGTTCCTATTGCACCCAACATTCCCAGATTTGAGCCTGCTTTTCAACACACGGCTTTGCGATGTCACGGCTTTGCGATGTCAACGAGACAGGAAATCCAATCCATCGCTTCGGGTCAACTTCGGAAGAAGATGTTACTTCTGATTTGCCCTTCGGAACCGGGGGGGCCGTCTACTATTCAGGCCGCCACATTACACGCTGAAGCCTCCGATGTAGTTGCTTCTTTTGCTCAGCTGGTTTCTTATCACCACTTCGGAGAGTAGACATGAAGCCCGGGCCAGTATCCGCCCCATTCTCTACCGTCTCCGCTTTGGGAGGATTGCTAACGTCACGTCTCGAGTGGAGGGAAGAGAGGTTGCGGGTGTAGGGACGTGTTGGGCCTAGGGTGGAGGTTTGCAGCCCCCATCCCTAAGCAGTGAAGACGTCCAAGCCCGAAACGTGAATACCGCCAAGGTCTGAACCCAAAGTCCCGCAAACCTGTGTATCTCCAAGCTATATCGAGAGAAAACCTAATTACACATCCTCAGCTCCTGGAGTTCAGATTTCAGGGATGGTGATTTCTAGGATACGACTGACAACCCTTGACCCCACAGCCAAGGCTGAATGTAGTGAATGGTTCTTGCGCTGTCCAACACCATCTTGAGTGCCGACCTCACAAAGGCACCCAGATAAGATAAAATCAAGAGCCCAAACTTCAACATCAGGCACCAGACACTGAGGCCTGACGATAGGACCTCACTGTTAGAAGCAGCTGCTACATGTAGAAGCTTCTGAACACGCAGTCTTCGCTAATGCCCTTTTCTGCAATGCTCAACTTGCACTGCACGTATCAATTTGTAGTAGAAGACCCGAATGTAGACCTTAATCTGGATCTAGTTTCTAGGCACAACCCGAGAATGGCAGAGCTATGCCCGAGGGCCCCAAGACAAAAGGATTCTACAACGCGCTGAACTCCATTACCTTTGTTTGGAGAACCTGTTCTATGGTTAGGATTCCTACTGCGTGTCTAATACTACGGTAAATTAGGCAACCACAATAAAGAATTCCAATCCAAGATCCAGGTATGTCGTTGTTCATGGATGTGGTGAGACCGTCCATCTGCAACCCTAAACCGCAAATCTCTGTAACAAAAACTGCCCGCCTTGTCGAGATGTGAACGGGTGTTTTTTTGTAAAGCAAGTCTGCGTTACCTACAAACGGAGGGGATGCTCAACATCTGTACTGGGGCTGTGCCAGGTTCAAAACGAACAGCTTTTCACCGTCGAGGCTGATAAAGCATCCAGTAAAATGGCGCATGGACGGATGACGAGCATGTGGGGACAAGCAGGGCACGTCAGATGAAACATAAAAAAGAAACTCTGCAATGCCTGGACAGATGGGATGCATGTGGAAGTAATGGGACGCACGAGACAAACAAAAACGTCTTCAATGGTTAGACTTGCCTGCTTTCTGGTTTATCGAGCTCCGGGTGTATCGCAGTGGTGCCACAGTGTCCGCACGATGCATTCAGGGCGTGCCTGTTCTTTAGCCCTACTCCTTGCCACACCCGGATACGATTTGCCGCGCCAGTGTTGCAACGGTCGAGTTCGACAGGGTCTTGCTGGCAGCATGTATACCACTCGCACTTCTGGCGACCCGAACTCAGGGAGCAAGCCGACCGGAAAAGCTTTGTGTCGGCTGCTGAAGACTGCTAACTGAAAACTCTACTATCTTGAACAGATAAAAGATCACACAGGCTCAGTGTGAACTGTCGAGAACTCAGGGAGACCCATTTCTCCAACAATGTAGAGGCCAGCAGAGGGCTTCTTTTACTGCATGGCTCATGACGAATGAAACAACCTTGCAGAATTAATCCATAACCCGCTTCATTTTGGGGTTGCCTTTAAAGTCCATACTCGGTCATGATTTTGTTGCTATGGCAACTTCCGGATGGTTGAGGTATACCTGGTTCACAAGGCTTTTGATGGGCTCCCTGGAAAGCTCACACAGCATCGCGCCCTTGTAAATTTGCTCAGAGGCCGAACTGCTCGATGGCATCCTTACCTGTGTACAGCTCAGCCGCAATGATACCAATGGCTGCGAACATCGCGAATCTGCCGTTGTTAATCTCCCGCTCCCTCATCTCCTGCGCTTGTTCGGATTTCGGGTCTCGAATTGGTATGCCCCGAATTCTTCATTGACAAGTTCCGACAGTTCTTCTCTCTGTTTCGGTTGACACCTAAGCAGCCCCCCTTGTTGCACCATGCTGGTGACTGCACGACTGAGAAAGGAAAGCCGGAAGCCTGGGTGTACTGGTTCAGGCCGGCGGGGTCGCCGAAGTTGCCCGGCTCTTTGTCGGCACTCTCGGTCCAGGCGCCGAGCTCCAAGATACCTGCCACCGCGAAGAGGGCCACAAAGCCGTAGCTGCCCGGCGCGGTGATGGAAGCTGCCAGGCCGCTGGGCACAGAGTCAAAGCCTGGGAACTTGACGTAGTGCTGCACCACAGCGCCCAAGGCCGCCATCATAGCAACACCTGTGGTCAGGCCGCGGAATGGTCAGCTTACGCTTGAGAAACCATCACGTGAGAATGAGAGTCTTGCAGTCTATTCATACCCAGGCACGGCCATGCTTGATCTCAGCAGCGCGCAAGGTGCGGAATCCGTCCTCGTCGCCCTTCTTGCTGAACCCGGCCGGGTCGAAAAATCCCAGCGGGTCCATGGCCCCGATTTCCGTGGATGGGTCGAAAGTGGGGCTGGGGCCCTTCGTGCCAGCCACGCCCTCACCTTTCGACAAGGAGCCGGCACCGGCGGTGCCAGCCACAGCCGAAGTGGTCGCTGTGGCGCCCTTGGCGGCTGCGGCCGCCTTGAATTCAGGAAGGTGCGAAAGGAAACCAAGGGCCAATCTCTCATTCCCCACTCTACAGTCGAAGCGGAGAACTGCAAGGGGCGCTCCACGATGAGTCGCGGCTCAAACTTGACCCTTAAACCCTGAAGCAAAAAGTACCGGAAGTGTACAGGATACTTACCTGTTAGTAGCACTTCTGATAGACCCGAAGTGCCTTCGCAGCAGCAGCAGCTGCCGCAGCCGCAGACACGGGCTCAGCCCTCAATGGCGAGGCTGTATACAAGCTCCAGTCTCCCCATGCGGAGCCTGTGAGGCCATCCTGGAAGAACATGCCTTGGCCGAAGTTGCTCATTTGGGATTCAAGGTTTGATGCATCATCTAATTGTGTCGCATAGCAGGATGCTTCATCTCCTGTCACTTTCTGCCGTCTGCTCTCGTCACTTAGCCTCTTCTCTCATCCTCTCACGTCCAGCGGCCGATGATTGCCATCATTGCCAGACGTCCATTGGCCAGCTCCGCTGCGAGCTTCTTTTTTCGCTCCTCGGGATCCTGCCCGTTGTCCACGCTGAAGAATGCAGTAAGCAGCATGTTGTCTGGGTTTCGTGCCAAACCTAGACTTCCGTGCTTGGTTTAATGACCGGGTCCTTCTTGCGAGGCCGACAACACGGAAAATTCTGTGATACTGAGGAAGGGAAATCCATGACAATGGTTCTGAGAACGAAGACAATGAAAACCATGGCATGGAGAATGGTTATCTGGCTGATGATGATGATGATGATGATAATGACGATGATGGGGCGGAGGATGACAATGTTGATAGAGACCGATAGAGATGATGAGGAAATGGAAGAGGACAAAAAGCGCCACAATGACCAAGATGATGGTGATGATGGTGATGATGGTGATGCTGATGGCCGGACAAAGAGCCGCAGCACAGGCAGGGATGCTGCCATTGTTTAGGGTGAAACAACTGACAGGCACTAATTCTGTGTCAATCTCTGCGCACAAACAACGCATGTGATGCATGGAAGTTCACCGGAATATGCAGAGACCTCTGTCGCTCTTGGAGTCCTCCACTTTGCCGACGAAATTGGGGAAGCCGACACCGTAGTTGCCAGGCTCACCGGTCCTGTTGCGATTCTGATTATCCCTACATACTTGCCCCGCTTGCGCTGGTATTGACGATGCCATGACGGACATATAAGATGTGATATATATATATATATAGTGTAGTATATGTATATGTATATATATATACACACGTATACACACATGTGTGTGCTTGCTGTGGCCACTGCGAGTCGCCAAGAAATTGGTCTTGAGGCTTGCAGTACGAACGAGTGCTGATGGCTCCCAACTAACTTTGCTATTGGTGAGTCGACGAAAACAAGACAGCCTCCGAGATCATAACCCTAATAGCCATGTCGTCGCGCATCACTGTTCACGTGCGGACCCCAGGCACTAGCCGCTGGACTGTGCGCCACGGCCCTGGCATGCTGCCAAGTCGCTCGGTGGAGTCCTTCATCGAGAACTGGCCTTCCCGCGGGCCACGGCCATCAGTGGTGGAGGACGCCTGGAAGAATCCTGTCCATGCTTTCCACAACTTACACTTTTGCATCCATGACGCTTAGAACACTGAATACTCCGAACACTCAGATCTTTACAAACTACTTGATCAAATTACTCTTCCTACTGCTACCACAGTCGCCTTTCTTGTCGCCATTCGCTTTCCCACGACTATACATCGATAAGCACGATAAGCTCATGAGACTGGTGACCTAGATATGCTTGGCAGCAACCTTACCGTTCTTGCGATTGCTTGCCGTGACCGGTAGGTGTGAGATTCTTATCCGTCTTCAATTCCGGCACCAGCATGCCTGTAGTCTCAATCAGCCCGGCGAACGCGATGATTTGTGCGCCACCAAGCACTGGCAGCTTCGAAAGCGCTGCAAGTCCGTTTGGCATGTCCTCACACATTAAGCACTATTACTATGAGTTGGGGGATTGGTTTGTGCATTATAGGAATGGCTGAGGTAGCACCTTGTGTCCTCATGCAAACTTTGAACACCAAGATAGAATTGCCTCAACGCGGGCAGCTTTACGTGCAGGCAGGAGGCAGAGAACTTCAAGCCCAGGGATGGCGACAAGAAGCCTGAAGCTCGCAAGCATTTCGGAGCATTGTGCAGCTTCTACATGCTTTAGCTGGTCACTCAACGAAGACTAAGAACATGTCGGTCATACTCCGGCATCATCTTACGGCCACAGGCCTGTGCTGTTAGCTACATTCTGCCACAGAGCCTGGGAAGCGGAAGTATTCCGGGACAATATAGCCAATGGTCGCATACCTCAGCAGCAAGCCGTGCCGGTAGTCAGCTGCTCCAACAGGCTAAAGGGTTTTTGATATTCTGCGCAGACGGCACCAACTGCTAGTGCTGCTGCTGCAGCAGAGGACAACTGCTAGTAGAAGTAGTAGTAGGAGTAGCAGTAGCAGTAGGAGTAGCAGTGGGAGCTAGAGTAGGAGTAGAGTAGGAGTAGTACGAGTAGTACGGGCATAGTAGGAGTAGTAGTAGTAGTAGTAGTAGTGGTAGTAGTAGGATTAGTAGTAGGATTAGTAGTAGTAGTAGTAGTAGTAGTAGTAGCAGCAGGAGTAGTAGTAGTAGTAGTAGTAGTAGCAGTAGTAGTGGTAGTAGTGGTAGTAGCAGTTCTTGTTGTGGTGGTGGTTGTGCTGCTGTTGTTGGTGAAGTTGTTGTGGTTGTGCTTGTTATTGTTGCTCTTGTTGCTCTTGTTGCTACTGGTCTTATTGTTGTTGTGTTCTTGTTGTTATTGTTGGCCAGTATCAGCAGCAGTAGCCGTACCAGCAGCAGTGGCAGCAGCAGTAGCAGTAGCAGTAGCCGTAGCCGGAGCTGTAGCCCGTAGCCCGTAGCCGTGTAGGAGTAGTAGGAGTAGTAGGAGTAGTAGTAGTAGTAGTAGTAGTAGTAGTAGTAGTAGTGCTATGCGCGTAGTAGTAGTAGTAGTAGTAGTAGTAGTAGTAGTAGTAGCAGTCGTAGTAGTAGTAGTAGTAGTAGTAGTAGTAGTAGTAGTAGTGAGCAGTAGTAGTAGTAGCAGCAGCAGCAGTAGTAGTAGTAGTAGTAGTAGTTGTGGTACTAACAGTAGTAGTAGTAGTTGTTGTTGTAGTAGCAGCAGCACTCATGGAGTGATACGGCAGTACATGCAGAACGAAGCCTCATCAAACTTCCATTTCAATCTGACCGAGAGGCATGGCGATGCGGCCATGCTTGATCTCCACAGCACGGCGGCGCTTGAAGGTCGCCTCGTGGAAGAGAGCTTTTGTTGTTGGTGTGGTCTTCAACCACCGCAACCACAACCACGACGACGATGACAACCACCAAGAATTACAAACACGACCACGGCTGCTGTCGCTACCACTCCTACTGCCATACCATACTCGTCCTCCAATCATCGTTCTGGGCCGGCCTGGTCCTTGTCCGCGCTAAGCCCGAGTGGATCCCAAAATCCCACAGGATCTTGCACACCCATCTCCTGGCACAAAGAACTATACGCAATGATCTGGCGAGTGACTGCTAATGACTGCTGCATGCAGAAGGAGCTCCGTGGCAGGGTCGAAGCTGGCAGGAGAAGTGGTCGGGCCGCCGAAGAAGTTGCGGGTGACGCGGGGCTGAGAGGACCTGACCTGACCAGTGAAGGTCGAAACAGACACCACGACTTCAAACCTCGTCAAATAAATCAGCTGCCTTGCTCAAGGTGCAATTACATTCGATGCTGCCACGCCACGGAGGAGCGAGAGAGGGCCGCCACCAAGACGCCTCGCACCCAACTTCTAGCTTTGCCTCCCTGTCTGTGACTTTCTCGGTCTCTCTCTCGATCTGCAGTCAAGGGCCCACCCTGTCCCTCCGCATCCGGTGCCTGCGCTGGCCACAGTGCCCACCGTCAGCGCCGAGAGGCTGCCGCTGCTGGGCGCCTCCGCGGCATGTGTGGCCTGGGCCGCCCGGGGCGCTGGGGCGCTCGGAGCCGCTCCGGGCACGAAGAGCGGAGCTGCCACCTAAGTCGGATGAGAGGAGCAGGAGAGAGTTTGGGATCTGCGCTGGGGCGAAGACCAGGCCGGCGGCGGGCAGAGCCAAGGCAAGGCTACGTGGCGCCATTGCTGGGTTGCTAGCTGAGGTCCGCAGAACCAAGGGAAGAGCCAAAAGTGCTGGCAGCGTTCCGACATGACACACTTCGCCAGGAGATGACTGTGACCACGTGCACCTTTCACTTTCTGCATGATCTGAACTCTCACATTTCACGAGGCTGAATGCACTCCATCGACTTTTAGCTTTGTGTCCCCAACTGACATCATGGCAGCCACAAATCCCACAGATCACACAATGCTGAGGCGATGTTCAGGCTGTGTAAGCCTGCTCCAAACACCGAAGCTCGAAAGTGTCAATGGAGTTGAGGTTGAGGCGCCCTCATTCATAACTAAGCAAACCCCAGAAAGCCGGCCCTCAGTCCCAAGAAAACAAGCGAGAAGATGCTACACCCCGCAGACCTTCTTGGGATGCAAGCAAGGTATAGGAGCGCAGATGCCTGTAACAGGGCTCTGATTGGGTGGATGCAGGAAAGCTAGAAGCTGAACAAGTCGAAAGTCGAAACGAAAACAATAACAATTGTTATTACAGTCCGCTAAACCTAAACCCTGAAGCATCGGCGAGGTCCTTCCACTCCTGAAAGTCTATGCCTCCAACAACAGCGGTGCAAAGGTAGATGTGTTGTTGAGGTCCGAAAACGACGACTGAAGCGTCAACAGCCGCCTCTAAGTAGCGCAAACATGAGGATGGCGAATGACCAGCCGAACACGCTGGAATCCCGTCAGCTGGGCTTTGTTGATGGAGTATCGAAGCGGAAGGGAGGAACCCGGCACGGTTGAGCTGCTTGGACTGTGGCTTCATCAACAACCGTGACAATGCCAACCCAAGCCACAATCTGAGACAAAAGAATCTTCTCTGGTCAACTGTGCGAGACTGGCTGAAATCAGCAAAGTGTGTCGTTGAGGCTCGGAGAGTACCTTTGCAATCAGCTACGAACAAACCTCTCAAAGCATGCTCGCCTTGAGTTAACCCAGGCAGGCTGCTGACAACGCGACAAAGCTCGAAAGCAAGGGAAACAACGAAAAAGTTTGTAAGTTCAAATCGCAATGGACGGACACTGCTTGTAGACGCTTCATCTCAGGTGTCGGAAGCTTATCAGCGTGCAGCGGTCATCGAGTTCAATTCTCCCACAAGCCCTCCAGCGTGCAGTTGACACGCTTGATGTTCCATGTCCTACTCCGGCTGCTGTAAAAAAATGCACCCGCGCGCAAGAAGAAGCGGCATTCGAGCTTGCAACAGCCACTGCGACAAAGGATTTCTAAATAGTCGACAAACTTACACGCCCGAAAAAGCCGTGTTGACCCTGCCTAAATCGCAACTTCACAGACCACTGCGTACTTCCATGATAACGACCCTCCAAAAAAAGGGATGCTCCGTAAAACCAAAGCAAGACGACTGCAAGTTCAGCAGCCGGGCCTCTTCCTAGGATAAGCGCCCGAGCGTGTGCCTCATTCTTTCAACTCGTTGGGGTGAGAATAATTAGGATAGCTCACGCCTGTTAGCAAGATGGTCGCAACACCCGTACTCCCTTAGGCTTTTACACCTCTTTCACTTATCAAATGAAAATGGAGGATTTCTGAAAACTACATTGGAAACAGGGGATTTCCAAAAACAATCTTCGCAACAGGCCAGGTAGATAGATTTGTTGGATGTTTTAGAGGTTCAGGGCTTTTTGTTGGTGTTGGCGGGTCTCGGTTAGCTGCAGCGCTCGGTCTAAGAAACATCTCAACCGTTCAAACTCACAAACAACACGCAAAAACAGCGGTGAAACTAAAGAAAGCAACGTACTTGCTGCAGCGTGCAGACTCAGTCGAAAATCAAAAATCGGAGTCAACGAAACGGTGCTTGTTTTTTCTGCAAAATCCGCGGAGCTCCAACATTTAATGACCGCGTTCTAGTTTCAGTTGAAGTGCAACGAATATTCGGTTTGGTTCGGCAAAATTGAAGGGGCTGCTCTTTTTTTCGACCTCGAAATATCTTTTTTCAGACCGCGCACTTGGTCCATCTTGATTTCGACCCCGGCATGTTTTTTTTCCGACCATCTTTTTTTCAGCCCCGCGACGAGGTCAAGAAAACGATTACGATATTTTTATCAACCTCCATTCTGCTATTTAAGCAGTCTTTTTCTTGGCTCCGAAACATCTCGTAACAACAAAAAACGCTACCATATGAATTTTTGCAACGCAAACTGGACAAAACACATAACTACACCATCTTCAAACTAACATCTTCTCAAACACATAAAAAGAAAAAGAAGCACGAAATTTTTGGACGTGACAGCGAACGAAAGAAATCAAACTGTGTCATCCAAAAAACATCAATCAATCGTTTTCCACACGAAGAAAGAAGAAGCCACACAAGATCGCTTTGGAGTGCAAAAGGAAAGAAAATAAGAATGCATTTTCAAAAAAAATGAAAGCATTCCGTCATTTTTCTGGCTTCTAGTCGGAGCCGAAGATCAAAACCTTTTTTTGGACTGCGGATGTTGAACAAAATGGAAAAAGATCGCGCAAAAACATCCCGAGGTTTGAACCTGGGTTTGATTTTTTTTGGCGTGGGCGGGTTTCAAAGACAGCCGTTGCTGCACTTGGTCCCAGTAAAAAACTCAAGAATGACAATTTTAAACTGTAGAAAAAGTAGGCAGTGGTCGTTCGACCAATAAAGCACAGGCTACCAGTTGTGCGTGGCGGACCAGCACACAAGGTTCAGCTTTCCATAAGGCTCACGCAAGTGCGGTGCACAAGAAGACACTAATGGCGATGGCCAAAAAAGAGGCAAGGTGCAGAAATCGCTACTAACGAATAGTAGGCCCTCCAGTTCGAAGCCTGACCATTTTTGAAAGTCTACCAATTACTGAATAGCACAAGGATTGATTATGATTAATTATTATGAATAATAGGCATAGTAGTCATAGAAAGCCTCTAAAGCTGTGATTTCCATTAAATTAAGCAGGCCCCCAAAACTCCAAAGCTTATGAATGCAGTCTTTTCACCTTATAGTGCCTGGCCACAACTGCCACGAAAGCCCAGCTTCCCATCACGTGGACCTTGCAAGGGCGATCTTTGCAGCACAATGTACCCAGACCCAAAGTTCCGCTTTGCATGGAAAAAAGAGGCGGGCGCGGCGTTTAAGACGGCAGACGCTACCACATGAAATGTCATGACTAAAAATGGTCGGCGTTTAGAGCGGCCGAGGATGTTTTCGCAGATTCGTCTCCGTCACAAAAGGCAGCATCGAATATCAGTTGCAGCATTTAAAGCGGCAGTCGCATCTCTGTCTCGAAATCTGCAAATCTATGCTCTCTAGCCTTAAAAAGTAGAAGGCGAACAGCTCTTCAGGTTCAAGGCAAACAAGTTCCAAGCACCCTTGCAAGCAAAGCAAGCTAACAAAACACTCGGACAGTTCACACTTTTAGCATGTACGGCTCACTGCTGGTCTCACGTGTCTCGAGACAAACGACAGTAGTCGTAGCACCTCTTAAAGCAGAAAGCCATTCTCTACTCTGGAGTCTTCTTCTCCAAAGCTTGTGAGCAAAAGGTCGCCAGACTTTTAACCAAAGCTCGAATGCAGGTCTGTAAGTTTTGTTCTTGCACGGTGTCTTCTAAACTGCGCAACCGGTGTGCTTTTGTCCCTCCAGGGTTGACCTCAGTGGATCGAAAATAGAAATTTCCGGCTATTTCTTCAAGCTGCCAAGAACTTTTTGCAGCACGACTGCACAGTACGAGAGCTATGAGAGCTATGTTGCGTTACTGAAGTATATTCAGGGTTTTTAGCGGGTGGTCAACCCGGTTTCTCGCCTTGATTGCTATGTGGACGCTTCTTGGAGTGGCGAGAAGAACGTAGACAGGAAGAGCATCAACGTGATGTTGGAAGATTTCTGTTTGAAGGCTTGGAGCCGTTTGCAATGACAACCTTTGAGTTGGACTGTTAAGCACATGTGGGGATTCTTGCGTGACGTTGCCGTGGCTTGTGTGCTTGATGCTTCTTGGAAAGAACCATGTTTGCTTGCGTGACCGCTTTGCTTCCATGCCGCATCCTCTTGGTTGGTGATTGAGTTCTGTGCCTCCGTTGAATCGTCGATGAGAGCGGCTGGTTAAGACCTGAACTGGGTGAATGTGCTTACTGTGAGTGAGCGTGATGAGGGTGCCAGTGCTGCGCAAATCAAAAAGAAGGGTTTTGTCTTCTTGCAGGCCAGTACTCCGTGTACCGGAGGCTGCCATACTGTGGAGGGCCGACCTGGCGAAGCCAGAATTGCTTGTGTTTTGCGGGCCTTTAAATGGGGTCGCCCGACAGCCCCATAACTGTGCAGCTTTGAGATCGTACAAAGACAGGGAATTTGTCCAGAGATGACTCTAGCATTTCTGAACAGAGCAGATCAAAGCCATGCAGAGTTATGGTTTCGAGAAGGTCGGCCGGAACAGATCATACAAGAGCGGCGGAATTTTCTGGAAGATATCTCTACCAGATCTGAACAGGACTTCTTGAGCTGTGCAGAGTTATGGTATCGAGAGGTGTGGCTGACGGTTCGGAATTTGTGCACGGTGCTTAACTCCAAAACCCCCTCATGCACGATATGGGCTCACCCGGCTCTTACCAGATCTTTTTTGCTCTTTTAGCAGAGACCCATTTGCAACATTTCTTGCCTCTGCTTGCTTCTGGTTGCATTTGCTGTTGCGAGACCGGCTGTTGCGTTCCCTCGCAAAGAAACAATCCGAACTGCACTTTTCGCTGTCGCACCGGAGGTTGCATCTCTCCTTCAAGTTCTTTTTTCTCGCTGATTCAGTTCCATCGTGCAATCGGAGTCCTGGAGCTGCGTGTTTCTTTTGCGCAGGAGGTGCATTCTGCAAACCTCGGATTTCAGAGGTCTTCCGCGTCCCCGCGCAACACAGACCCGTGCGAGCCCCGCGCCACAGGCCCGTGGCAGTTTCTGAAGTCTGGCAACATGCAGTTCTGCGCTCCAGAGACTGTTCGAGAAAGTGCCATTTGATCTTGTGTTTTTAGTCTGCCTGCTT